GGAAAAAACGGCCGCGCGGGTGGAAGCGGGGGTGGAGAGGACAAGGGTCAGAACAGAAACGCGGGAGGAAGCGGGGGCGGGGGCGGGGGTGGGGGCGGAGACGATGGTGAAGGGCCAACTTTCGTGGATGACAAATGGGAAAGTCCGCTACACGGGACCCGCGCCAAACTCGGTCTCAAAATCAACACAGCTCAAACGTACACGGTCAATATTGGTTACACTTTCAGGGTAGGATGCATCTGAATTTGATCGTCTTCCATCTACTAATTTGTCGTCAGTTTACCATCCAACGGAAAACGGAAATACCAATTAATCTGAATGATCTGAATGGTCCATTATCCCAACCAGAGGTCATTTCTCTGGTGGATTTCAAAATTGAAACTCGACCGCGCGAAACTCAAGTAGACCGCTCCTACGCAAGCATCGGTTTCGTGGCGCATCGGAAAAAATCGATATTTCAACGGGAATTGTGCGTTCATCTTAAATTCACGATAAATAAGGGCTAACATTCCTTTCTAGTCTACACCGTGGGTTTGACCTCCCTGACAAGCTTTACATGCACGGGAAAAATCGCCAAATCCAACGGGAGGTCAGAGCCGCTTTAGGATTCTCGCAGGGGGGTCCGTTGGCGACGACTGCGTTCGCATACCATCACAACAGCGAATCTACCTTGGAGGCTACTGACAGCAAAGTAAGGGAGACGATTTTAGCAGCTGATAGATTAATCTGGTCCAGGTTATGCCCAGGTGCCATGTCGCCGAAGAAATTGGAGACGAATGGGACAGCGACAACGAATCGTATTCCTCGTATAATATGGTTTACCGGGCGCACGTCAAACCGCTGGAGGGCGACTCCGAGTTTTATCCCTTGGCGGTGAAAGTGGGCATGGGGATTAATCTTCAACCATCGGCAAGTGGTGGACAACATTTTAGTCTCCCGAACTGACCCCGAATCCAGGGTTCGAAAGCACCCCACCCCCGAATATCATTTGTCAACCGTAATCAGGTCTTCATTTGGGTTTTTGATCCAACGTCGAAAGCGCGAATACGTGGAATCGTGGTGCTCATGAGTGTGAGTCCGGCTACTCCCTTTGTCCAAGATGAAGCTAGATTATTATAATAACAGAGTTACCTGGCCAACATTAGGAGCCAAGAAGAGCTTGCTATTTACGAGCAGGCAGATATAGATCTGAGCGCGGGGCCGTCGAATGCACCCAGTAAGTCCTCCTACTGTAGAGCAACAATGAATAACCGGATATTTTCAGCCGAAAATGACCACCATGAACCGGGAACCATATCTCTTTCGATTGCGAAAGTGGAAAATCAAAATACTCCCCGTCCAAATAGATTACGCATGGCGGTTTCAGGGTTAGCCGCGAAACTCAAACACAGATGCCCAACCAGTGATGTAACTTACATCCGGCCGCATGAGTATCTGGCACGGGGCTGGGATGCAACCAACAGTCGCTGGAGAAGTGTTTTGTGGCCTGCACTCAACAAAGACTTTGGCGCAGCTGACCTTGAGGGCACACCCCCCGTTTGGGTAGTTCAGTGCCCGTGGACGAAGGGTATTGGAACCAGTTCTAGCGCAGATCCCTAGAGAAGAGGGCTGGCGTGGCTTGGTAATGCTACGTGTAGCGGTGTGTTGAATGTTAATTAGTTTATTTCAGAAGGCAACTCTCGCCCACTGTATACTTCCCGATGAGTGAATCCTGGAATCCAGCTCCTTCGACTAACATCTGACATCCGGACAGGGTAAACTTGGCCGGATAATTTTGCCACCCCGCCTTATCGGTGCGCAAATCGAACATATCTTGGTAAAAAAGTTAACACTCAAAAGCCCCTCCGTCCGTTCTAATTAGTTAATTATGAGCTTTACATCATGCCGAGGGCCTAATATTTGAGAAGCTCTTTTTGCGACAAGACAGATATAGTAACAACCTCATTTGATTAAGGCTGGCGTGCACTCAGTGGAGAGTGCCGAGCCATTGCTGGTCAGATCGACTGAAGGAGAAGTGGAATATACGAAGGGAAGACACTGGATTCAAAAAAATACCCTGATTGTTGTGGTCGTTCATTAGTAAGTATCATTACGGTGTTCAGGCAGGACAACTGTCAAAAAAGCCAAGACAAGTAAGGTAGGGCGCATGGACCATGCGCAGACGTCATGTAACTTTCTTTCAGGAGAGGAATATGTATGTATTTGTATGAGCCATCCGTGAAGCATTTCAGCTTCCGATCGGCGTTGGCGAACATGCGTGAAAGTTTGGGAATTGGGAGAGCCGGCAACAGCGCACGGCGGCAAGATCACGGCACATATCGGAGGTTGAATTAGTGATCGGCAGCTGACAGTACTAGCCATTCCCGCCCTTGCCTCGCCCTCCGCACTCCACAATCTCTCCCTCTTTCTTCCTCAGCCATGTCTCATCTTTTACTTATTGCTGATAATAATGCCTACCTTTTTTTTCTAACAGTGAGCATAGAACCGCTGTTCTATTGAGGATAAGACAGTGCATACATAGGGGCTTGATCGACGGCTGCTGCCGTGTCGATCAAGCGCACCCCCCGGCATCCCTTTTCCTGAAAATAAATTCTGATTATATGCCAGCAGCCCAGCTATTTACAGCTAATTGCAGTACCGAAGGCGCGAACAGAAAAATTACCATTTTGGGCAGATTTCGATCTTCGCGACCGATTTGCCCATAACTCTCTGAGTTTTGCATGAATCGAGCTGAAACCTAGCTAGATAATTCGTACTAATTCATACGCAATTAGTGATAGAGAGGGAATTTAAAAAATATCATATTTTATATCTCCTGGCACTTGAGACTCATGTCGGCGATCCTCACGACCGATTTGCCCATAACTTTCTGGGTTTTTCATGGATCGAGCTGAAACCTAGCTAGATAATTCGTACTAATTCATATGCAATTAGTGATAGAAAGGGAATTTTTAAAATATTATATTTTGCATCTCCTGGCACTTGAGGCTCGTGTCGGCATAAATTCGCACTAGTTGTTTCAGTTCTTGTCGGAACAAGCTCATTTTTTAATACTAGGTACTTCAACATGTAGATAGAGCTCCCCCGCTTCTTCTCGTTCCCTCCCAGTCGCGATTCTGTTTGCCGCCCCCACATATCTGCTCTCCTCCTCCCTTGCTACACACCCCCCCCATCGACATCCCTGCTCCTTCATACCCCCTCCCCCCCCCCATCTTTCACCAGTACCTAGCAGAGTGATATATGATGGCCACTTGCTCACCAAACTGGTGTGATGCATCACTGCCTCCTTAGAACGCTGGTATCATATATTACACTAGAGACCAACCTATATATGCCTGCTCTAGAACCAAAGGCGTATCTGCCGCACCCGCCGCCGCTCGTTCTTCCGCAAGCGTTTCTCTTCCCTTCTGTATGAGCTCTCCAAGCCCTGACCACATATTCAAGAAGCGTGCACGCAGTGCGCGCTGCTGTGCTGCCTGCCGCGAGGCGTACACGTCCAAGCCCTCTCCAGCCCCTCCTTGAGTCCCTGCCTCTTCTGTTTCTGCTCGTCCCACCAGGAGCCCCGCCAAAGCAGGAACTGCGTGATACAACACATCTCCTCTTCCAGCAGGTCCACCTCCTCTGACCACCGTAGTGACCGCGCTCGTGTCTTCGCCCATTCAATGTGCAAAGCTGTTGCCACCTTTCAGCGATGGCCAAAACCCTAACTGATACCATGCTTACCTTCGTTCAGCACAGGCTCGCTGCCTCCATCCTCCACCGTGCTGTGTGTCCACCAGATCCACGAGAGGGGTACCTTGTCTGCCTTCGACTGCTCCTTCCCCTTCGCCTTCGTCGCTTAACCACGTTCTTCAGCTTACAACATGTCCACACTTCCCAGAGAGTGGTAGCTGATGTGCACTGTGCACCACATTCGAGTTCTCTGCCATCCTTCAAAGGTGGGGAAGTGGGAAATATTTGAGCATCCACAGGACAAAAAAAAGAAAATTTATGCACTCATTGTCAATGGGATTCGGATGTGGGGAGTTGAACCCCGCTCTTCAGCCTGTAGATAATACCTCCACCACAAGAAGCCGCTGTGCACTGTGCACCACATCTGAGTTATTCCATACCTTCTGAGACTGGGTACGTAGCAGCATTTTAGCACCAAAAAGAAAAACATAGACCGCTTATTCGGACGCGGGGAGTCGAACCTCGGTCTTCAACAGTACCATTCTAGTCCCCATCATAGTAGCAGCTGATGTGCACCGCGCATCACATCCGAGATACTTGCCTTTCATTTGAACCTGCATAAGGGTCAGATATTTCAGCGTGGATGGCTAAAAAAAGTTCGACGAGCAAGACTAGTTCAGATGCCGGAGTCGAACCCCGGTCTTCAGCACTAAGATTGAATATTGAATTTACACACGCAATTCACCATGCAGTACATCCGAGTTCTCCTTTACCCTTTGAGACAGGGTAAGTGGGTGTTGTTTCAACGTGGATGTAAAAAAAAATGTCTTTGAAATCCAACTATTCGAATGCGAGGAGTTGAACCCCGGTCTTCAGCACTCAGACCTTTTGGAGAACGCACTATGCGAAGCTGATGTGCACCGTGCACTACATCGGAGTTGGTTCCTACCATTTGGAGTTACGTAAATGCGGTATTGTGAACTTTGGGGAAAAAACTGTTCAAAGCTCAGCCTACAAGGACGAAGCCACTATGTTATAAAGAGCTGACGTGCACCTTGCACTACATACAAGTTGTTCTGTATCATTTGGAGCTGGGTAAGTAGGCTTTCATGGACCCCAAATATATATATTCAAGAATCATGTGGCATTCGGATGCGGGGAGTCGAACCCCGGCTTTCACTGGCTCTATCTTAGTTACAGACAACCAACAAAGAGCTGGTGTGCACCGTGCACTACATCCGAGTTGATATTCTTCATTTGAGCTTGGGTATGTGGGATTACTATTTCAACATGAGTGCTGCTAAAAAAAAAAAAGTCAAAAATGCAATTTCGGATGCGGGGAGTCGAACCCCGTTCTTCAGCTTCGATTAGTATGACAATGAGCTACCAAGAGCCGATGTGCACCATGCACCACATCCAAGTTAATATTCTTCATTTGGAGTAGGGTAAGCGGCAAATATTTCAACTCTGAAAAAAAATAGGAAACAGCTGACAAATTTTCGAACCCCGGTCTTCAGCCTTTCATTGACACAGTCTGCAACGAGATATGTGAAGCTGATGTGCGCCGTGCACCACATCCGAGATATTCCCTACCTTCTGAGACTGGGTAAGTGGGAGATATATCAGCGTAGATGTGACAAAAAAAAAGACGCAGTAAGAGCCATAATTCGGATGCGGGGAGTCGAACCCCAGCTTTCAGCTTGTGAAATGGACAAACATCAATAACGATAGCTGATGTGCACCGTGCACCACATCCGAGTTACCTTCATTTGAAGCTGGGTAAGTGGGTGTTTTTTGAGCATGAACACAATCTTGAACAAAAAGAGGAACTTCAAGCTGTATTCGGATGCGGGGAGTCAAACCCCGTTCTTCAGCTCTCAGATTGGCTAAATTCATACAAGAAGCCAATGTGCACCCTGCACCACACCCGAGTTACTTGCCTTCCTTTGAACCAGAGAACATGAGAGTCGAGAGCAAGCCGGGCCGGTAGTATTTGCACATGTTTCGGCCAAGAGGTCCCCAAGATAAGGGTTTGACCCACTGTCAACAGCACGTGACCAGATTCGATGACACCTTCGTCGCGTTCAAAAAACGGTAAATAAATTTGCTTGAGAGGCGATCTGAGCAGCGAGAGCACGTATAATGTTGTAGAGAGCTTTTTGAAATTTCTGTGGAGGATATCGTTTCGAATTGAGTTATCACCGGATTTACGGCCCAATTGGGCTTGGCTGGCATTTTACGCAGTAGGGTGCTTACAGGAGCTCAGAACCTCTGGCAATTGATAAGCAAGTATATGGTACATATTTAAGGCATCCAACATAGAGTCCAAATTTTTCCGCAGCCCAAAAACATATCCATGGCCAAATGGTTTTTTTGATCGCGACCAAATATTTGGTAGGGGTTGTCACATGTGTTCATCAGTGGGTCTTATAATGAGATCAGCGACCTCTTGGTTTCGGAGTCTGCGCAATTGACCCAGCAGGTTTTTACGGCACGTGCTGATCGGACAAGAGGCCTAATCCGGTGTGTTGGCTGTATTCGACGCAGTCTGCGACTCTTATGAGAGCTGTGATATTATGAAACACGTACAATATTCCCAGTGTCCATTTATTATTGTTCCCCTGCAGGAATTTATTTGGTTGCCTCAGTGAACAGTATAAAAGTGCAAAATAGTGGGCAGAAAGGAAGAGTGCACTCTCCCGACATCAGCTACCCCTAATGACATCCCACATAGGATGTCTTTGCTCAGTTGGATATATTTTAGCATAGAAATAACTGTCATCTCGCGTGGTCTGCCGTTCGAGCCCCGCGTTTCCCTTGTTTTTTGCTGATTTATTTTTAATTCTGCCAGGATTCAAATAAGTGATTTGGAACCTATGAAAATGTCCTGCGGAGCTCCAAACAAGAAACTGAATTTAACAAGACAACTAAACTGCAATTTCAAACAAAACATAATTTAATCCTTCTCAAGGCGAACTTGGTACCCCATGGTGTTCTGCATATGTTGAATGCTCTCCCTATCACCTTTTTTAGCCCAGGTGGTATTGCGTGCCCGCGCGGTGCTTTCGAATCTACGAATGTCGGTCACCATTTTACCCGCATCACCCCCAATATTCCGCTTAACAACATTGGACATCCACAGTGTATTTCGGTGGGGAACTTGGGAACGAAGAATTGCTGCAGCTTCTTCAAGCTCATCTGCCCGCTTCAGAATGTACTCTGAGTGCGCGTCCAGCTACAGATATATTTAGCCATTGTTGAATTTCAATCAGAGCTATTTTTACTCACCTGCTCCTCATCGTCGCTGTCGTGAGTCTCAAATGAGGGAAAGAAATGTCGCTGCACCTCATCAGCATCCTCCGCGCTGCTACCATCTGACTCATGACTAGACAACCGCGCACGCTTCCCCAGGAGACTCCGCGTGCTAAAATCAAGTTCTCGCCAGCCACCGCCGCCAGCTAAAGCTGTCCCCTTGGCAGATATGGCATGGTCATCACCGTCTGAGATGCTGCCGTCAGTCGGCTCCATGTATTCGGCAGGTTCCTGGCCACGAGGAACCAAGGCGGGGTGCCGGTACAGGGGGAGTGTTCAGCGGCGAACAACCTGGGTCCAAAATTGTGCTGGAGGTGTCTCGACAGCGTCCACAAGGTGCTTGCAGAGATGACAGCTGTGGAACTTCTGTGATCTGCACGTACAGGTCCACAAATCAACACGGGTGATATATTTTTTGTCTGCATCAACGCTGGCAGTGAGCTTGGCGAGTTTTAACCAGGCGGACTTGAATTGTTTTTGAAAATGTGTTGGTGGTTTTGACCGCCCGAGACGATACCCGTCGTTCAAAGCATCGGCACGCGCAAGATACGCCGGTGTCACTTGGGTGATGAGAATCCAGATGAGTTGATCGAGACGAGGGCGGATGTGATTGTGCAAAAACCCATATTTCAACTGCTTCCAAAAATTCTCTACGTTCATGGTGGTACGGAGGCGCGAGAGATAGGGTGAGGTGGATCGCGCCCAAAGTTTCCACATTTTTGGCACGTACCACGACGTCCAAAAATAGCCCCAAGCCTCGCGAAGACCGCGCTCGTAACAAAACCTGTACATTTCGTGCACAGCTTCGAGCCAAATGTCCTGCGCCGACTTCAGACCATCGGCAGTAGGGAAGAGAGGGTGCTGGCAGAAGTGTTTCGTGAAGAGGCGAAGGAGTGGCTTCCGATGCGGTGCCGGGCAGAAAACATATTCAGGGTCAGCAGATTTTGTTTCTCCAGCCTTGAACATCCAATCTAGACCGTCTTCTTGATCCTGCTCCATGGCCGAGTCCTTGTCAAGAAGCTTGTCGACTTCCTCAAGTAAATCACCTTCCTCCTCATCAACATCCCCGGTGGTAGGCTCGGAGTCGTTGTAATTGGGGCAGGGAATAACTGCTCGCACTGCACCATTGAGCCAAAGGGTGAGTGATGGTTGAGCATCCGTCAGCCGTGGTGCTGTAGCCATGGGTACACCGTGAAGTCTGAGTGTAAGCTGAGGGATAGCTTGAGCAGCGACATAGGTGTTCTAGCTTAACATCAGTCTTTGGGATGAGTTGATAAGATGAACACGGACCGGTGCAACCTCCTTAGATTGTGATACTGGAACAAACTTCTCATCAATCCAGTTGAACTCGGCATGAGCAGATTTGACTGCATAATGGGCAGGAACCCTGCGGAGAATGGCAAGACGGGTCTTGATGGCTCTCAGCACATGCCAGAAGCAAAGCTGGTGCTTTGCATTGGGGTATTTTGCCAGAAATGCATTGATTTTGGACCAATCCTTGTCCGTAAGTGTAATTAGTGCGTGCACCTTCCACACTGTATTAAAGTGGGTGAGGAGTTGGTGAAGAAAATTCTCTTTACCCCCCGGCTTCGCCGTCCGGTGTGGTTTGATCAGGGTTCGGTGCGGAGTTCTCCTTCTCTGCTGCAGCCTTCCTGGCCTGGGCCAATTCAGGTGTGCAACGTTAGCACACTAGACAGGTTTTCGCGCGGCTTAGGGCTGTGCGCCGTCCCGTCGACGGGCACGGCCGTCGTTTCGACGGGACCTGGACGGGAACGGTCCGTCACGCGACGGCTGTCATTTCGACAACTCAAACTACTGAGTAAGTTCATAAGGTGTGGCCTAAACTGTGTATTGGGCTTACCTGTGCATGAAACATGCCATGCAAAAGGCTTACACATCGCATATGGCCGATTATGGCGTGTTTTCTGGACCCGTCGACCCGTCGACGGCTGTTTTCGACGGGAACGGCCGTCAAAAACGCAGTCGAAGAGCCCGACGGAACGGGTCAGCTACCCGTCGCACGGAACCCGTAGAACCGGCGCGGCGGGCACGGCGCACAGCCCTAGCGCGGCTGCCATCTATCTTGGTCTTGAATTCCACAGCACAGCTGTTTTGAGCGTTCTACAGCTTGAGCATTCGCTCCAATCAAAGGGTTCGGCCATTTAGAAGCAGATGTGCGGCAGGGGGTGGCAGGCTTGGGAGAGGGAATGTGGGCCCAGCCACGCTCTTCCCATTTTGGGATCTCTGGACATCAGCGCTCGGGATGTTCCGTGTTTAAATGCGGGTGCTAATATGGTGCTTGGCCAACGTTTTACGACCATTGTCCGCCATGTAGAGCCACCCTGGACGCGTTTTGACGCGTCATTCTATCTTATCTCTCTTCCTACCACGAACTGTAGCCTGAAACCGAATTCTACATGACATCTCAACCTGCCACTTTTGAATTTGTGCATACCGCAGTGCCAGCTCCCGCGCCGCACCCTACCCCAGCAAGTGGCCGCTCTCAGAGAGTCAGATGGGCCCCATACGACGCCGAGACAGCATCTCGAAAATCAAAGCCGACGGTCACTCCCCGCAGTGTTGCTTCGGACATTCCCCTAGATAAATTGCAGGTATCAGCAGACCAGCACGCAGCCCTCGATAAAATGTATAGGCCCGGTGGCATCTCTTCTTCGACGTCGGGAGCCCTCGCAGACCATCTCTTTACGCTCAACGACGATGACCAACTTCATGCTTCTGCTATCAATATGACCACGCACATCACCAAAGCAAAGTGTTCTGAAGCGCAAACACCTGCGGCGCTGGCAAAACAACGGCCGTAGACTTCGTGTTGATGTTCTCATCCGAATTCTGATTATCCACGTCATTCCTTCCATTTTCCAGGAGCGTCGTCTGTATCATGAACAGAATCTGCGTATGGCGCCCCCCATCCATGCACTCCACGTCCAAGCCAGCATAAACGGAGAACTGATTTGCTAGCGCCTTCGCCAGAAAAGTCATCACAAAGGCATTCATCTTACGCACCACACTAGAATATTGTATGTAGAATATTTATGTTAGAAAATTGAATTTATCCAACTATCCGAGACGACTTCTACCTCCAACGCAAATCCAACATGCCACTTGAACCAATTTGAGCAGCCCATTGTTCAGCACAACTATATTTAGTTCGCCCAATTGGGATCTCCGATGACAGCACATCAGCAGATGACCATGCATCACTGATTGCCGGCTGTTCCCAATCGGGCAGGAGCGTGGCTGGGCCGTGTTTCCGTGGGAGAGACGCGACGCGTTGTGTGGTCGTATTGGCCTACAGAGTCATCGGGATGTCCCGCTGATGGCATCATCACGTGCCGTAAAAAACCTGCTGGGTCAATAAGTTGAAGTTGAATAACGGCTAGTTGGTTTCGGCTCTCTTGTGAGGTCGTGGCGTCCTTGCGGTAGGAGCCAGTAGCACGCTGCTCGCTCGACCTTCTGCTTCTCCCTCCATGTCCTCCCCTCTCGGTAACTGCAACCCCGGGACCAACGAAAGTCGGACGGCAGGTACATAGCAAGCACCGCACATTCCGCTGCATGCGCGGCACATTCGTCCAAACCCGGCACATTCTGTGGAATGTGT